GATGGTAACAAAATGTTTAATAATAATAATAATGATCTTTGCATTTGATACAGCGCCTCATCACGTCTTCGAGACGTCTCAAGTCGCTTCATAACTGCAAAGTGAATTGACCGTGTATTTTTGTGGGTGAAACGCGGCAGCCAGTCGCGCACAACGGTTATAATCTAATAATATCACAATTCTGACTCTCTTGTGTCCCTAACTAATTTTAACACCCCTAAAACAACAACTCAGTCACCAGCGCTCTAATTTCACTGAGCATTCTAGATTTTAATAACGTAAAAGTGAAATCCCCGGATATTTTCGGTGGTCTGCTATGCCATTGTGCCTGCGTATGTTGTCTCTTATTTCACCTTCAGTTTCACATGGTGTTGTTATGATGAAACTACTTATGTAAAGTGTTTACAATTACTGCCCCTCTTTCCTGTAATATCTTTCTTCTGCGCTTCCAGTTTCCATTTTGCATGTTTCCCTATTTCTGTAAAATCCCTACGGCTTTTTATAATAATCTCTGGTTTATGCAGCGCCTTATCACGTCTTTGAGACATCTCAAAGCGCTTTGCAGGAAATACTGCAAAGTGTAGTGACTGTGTATTTTGTGTGATAAACGCGGCAGCCAATTGCACACAGCAGCACAAACAATTGTGGATTGAGTGACCAAATTATTATTATTTTTTCTTTTGAAGGAATTATTAGACCCAGAAAGCTATCCGCCAGTCGACTAACAACAGGGTTCCTACTTTACTGCTCGGTAAACACAGACATGTGGAGTGAGGAAACTTTCCTAAGGTTTCACCCTGGCAGGAATCGAACCCAGGTCCGCTCGCTTGCAAGGCGAGTGCTCTAACCACTGAGCTACGGGACTCCATCGTTTTCCTACTCAGCCAACCTGCTGTTCGTTCCTTGACCCCTCATCCCCTACTCTCTTACATTTACAAGCTGAGACTAGGTGGAATTTTTAATCTTAAGTGCCCATAATTATGGAGTCTTCTGTTTTTTTTAAATACTGCCATCCCTCAACCTGATGAGCAAAAACATCACACTATTCCTTCTCCTGCTCCCCAAAGAATACAAATTTCTTTCGTTTGCGCATCAGCCGTAAAATAGTTAAAAGCAACAAATGGTAAAACGCGCTTAAAAGAAACTCGCATCATCACTTCGAAGCAAAAGTTCCATCAACTGCCAATTAACACACTTTATTCAAAACGTTTTGTCCACAAAATATACGGTCGATTCACTTTACAGTCTTTACTGCGAAGGGCTTTGTGAAGTCTCGAGGACATGGTAAGGCGCTGTATCAAATGTAAAGATAATTATTATCAAAATCGTGGCTGATGGGCAAACAAAGGTCCCTTCCATCACCCCACACTTCCTGCTAGCTCGGGCTAACAGCTCTGGATTATTGTTTGTTGTTATACGGTGACGATTATCAGTGGGAGCTGAGAAGCCGGGCTGGGTGTGCGAATCCAGGACGCTGCTGGATTCTGAAGCAGTTGCCAGGAAACGGTGCCGTTGTCTCTGAATGACGCTAGCTTGCTTCTGTACTGCATCACTGTTGTGTTACGTGGACAGTCAGCCTTGAGAGGTCGTGAAGGACTGATCTCTCTGTGCGCTCTGTGTATCTCAGTACTTTATGAGAGGGTCATGTTTTGCAGCAAAGCCTTATACAAGCTCACCCTATCTCATCCTAAGTTTGGGCACTTCCCGAGTCAGTTTGTGGGTTCAAGCCCCACGTCAGAATGTGAGCTCGCAACCCGCTTAGCACTGGGGCGGCCCTTTAAGATGAAATGTTAAACCAAGGTCGCAATTGCACACATTATAATACTGTATTACATTTATACAGCACCTTTCACATTGGGAGGATGTCCCAAGGCGCTGGACAGTCAGGGATTTGCATGCAAGTTGGGTGGGGGCTGGTTGGGATCAGGAGGGGTGGAGGGCAGACAGGGTGGGGTACGTGAGGGTGGCCGAAGGCATGGTTGAAGAGGTTGAGACGTGCCTTGATGGAGGGAGCAAGGCGAAAGCAACTACTTGCTTTTTCATAGCGTCTCGGAGAGCTTAACAGTGGGGACAGGGCAGGGAGAGAGGGGAGGTGATCAAAGGCACGGTCGAAGAGGAAAGTCTGATTAGCCTGTTGATCAGGTGGGCGTTAAAGATGTTAAGCCCTCTGGTACGCCGCTCGATAAATGCAAGTTGTTGCTGATGCTGCTGCTGTTAAAATCACATTGTACGATTCAAAACTTCTCCCGCCAACAATCTCCCATGAATTAGTCATTAAGAACTATTTGGGCGAGCTTGTGTGCGAAACGGCCGCTTTGTTTGGCTACATAAACAGTCACTACACTTGGCAACAATTACCTTGACACGTATGAGTGCCATTAAAAAAAAGTGTATAACACATGATCCGATATTTACGTTCGCTCACAATGATAAAAGTTTGGAATCTGATTCATTATATTTACCTAAACTTGGGACTTCCTTTTATTTAAACAGCGAGTGTCAATGATAGACACTAGGAAATGCTTCTTCACATAGAGGGGAATTAATAGCTGGAACGGGTTGAACATACTTTTGATTATGGGCAGTAAAATCCAGTAGCCTTCAGATACACAGTCATCCAGATATTATGGTGTCATCGTGATGTTGTAATGGTGGGTAGGAGTGTAAGATGGGTAGAAGCATGAGATCAAAGGGGCCAACGACCTTTTTCTAGTGATTGTGTGATGTTATTAACCTTGTGTCAGGATCAAGGATTATTCTTAATTAGTCGTACTCACTAACGCAGAGTGTTTCAGTACCTTGGTGATCACACCCTCGACCCTCAGCCTCCTCTAAACGTTCCCCCAGTGACTAGGTCATGAACAGATACAGAAGGAAATAATTAAAAGGAATAAATAAATGTCCATCCTGCCTTGTGAAGAGGCATAATCTATAGCGGAGTCCTGTAGCTCAGTGGTTAGAGCACTTGCCTCGCTAGCGAGAGAACCTGGGTTCGATTCCCGGGCGGGTCGGGTTAGGGTGAAACATTGGACAGGTTTCCTTACTCCACACACACACCTCTGCCCACACACAGACAATTCACTTTACCGAGTATCCCGTGAAGCGCTTTGAGACGTCTCGAAGATGTGATAAGGCGCTATATCAAATTCAAGGATTATTATTATTATACACACAGTGCAGGAAGTAATGTGACATTGCCATTTGAGATTTGAGTGAATACCAGAGAGAAATACTGTAGCCTGTTGCTGTCCACCTCGCCCTCCCTCCATCTACAGAGAAAGTTGGTGGCTTCGGGAGAGAGGGAGAGAGAGGGATGGGGATATGACACACATGTGAAGGAAAAGCATTGGACTTAGGATGGGAGGAAAGTGGGCAGAATGCAGGAGGCCAAGTCATCATGACTCATTTTCACACACTTCCTTGCAGCTGTCGGTAGACAGACACAAGCCAGAGTGACCCTCCTCAGTCTCTCTGAGCCCCTGGGTCAATGGAATAGTTTGGGTCAGACTGGGGTCCTTACAAACCACAAGGTCAGCGGTTCAGAGCTGGCCAGAGTGCCTTTGGGCTACGGAAGTTAGGCTCCTGATTGTTGTTGGGTGACAGTTGACGAACAGGGTTGGGCTTGCTGTATGATGCCTCCGGCAGCCAAACCGGCCCCTTTCCAGCTCCTTGTCTGGGCTCCCACATGAAAAGCTTCGCGGTAGCAAACCCCTAGCAAAAGCCTTTGCCATCAATAGCAATAATAATAATCCTTGCATTTGATACAGCGCCTCATCTCGTCTTCGAGGCGTTTGATAGAATATACTGTAAAGGGTAGTGACTGTATATTTTGTGTATATTAAACAAGGAGGGTGGAGAAAATGAGTAGAGAGATCTCCTGATCGCCAATCTGCCCACATTCAACTCGTTGCTGTAGCCCCTCATGTGAAAATACATATTTGTCATTTAGTATCATAGAACCACAGACCTGTACAGTACAGCCTTCTGGAGGCCATTCAGGTTTGCCTGTTCAGCTCTCTTAACAACAAATCAGATTTATTTACTGCAGCACCATCCTTCACACGGGGTAATATCATAAAACGCTTAATAAAAGAGCTCTCTATTTATCCCCACTCCCCTATCTCCCTCCCCTCCCCCCTCCCCGCGTATATTTCCATTTATAAAATAATTATCCAGTTCCATTTAAAAGCTATAATGTCTTCAACCAGTGATTTGGGGCTGGATGTTCCATGTCCTCTAACAATTTAAAATCTGACCTCTGCCTTTCGTTTAAATTGTTTTGCGCCCGGCCCGGGTGTCTGCGTCCGACACACACGGAAACCCATCACCGTGGCTTAAGAACCCAACTGAGAATTCCAGGCCTCCCAACCCACCACCTCCACATGGAGATTGCAGTTGGAACCGAATGCGCACTCTCTCTCTCTCTCTCTCTCTCACTCTCTCACTCTCTCGCTCTCTCTCTTCCTGGAAGGACGCTTCCTGCCTTAGCTAATTCCGGAGAGCATTAGGCGCAGGTTGGCGAGAGCCAAGGCTTTGGGGGTGGAGGGCGGCGGCGGTGGTGGGGGGAGTATTTGGGGGTAACCCCTGGAGTCTGACCAGTTACAACCACAGAGCTTGGCCATTGAGAGCGAGCGAGCGAGCGCGGGAGAGAGAGAGAGAGAGAGCGAGAGCGCTGTCTGGCCAAGCTTTCCTGCTCATGTACGTGATATAAAAAAGATTCCAAACGTCGTGTAAATTCCTTGAAATAGCCTCGAGATCCACGAAGGAAATAATCGTTGCTGTGGGACGCCGCGCGCGTGTGCGTGTGCGTGTGCGTGTTGCGTGTTGTGTGTGTCTGTGGAAAAGACACAGAGCAAGTGCAGTGGGGGAAGCCCTCTGGTGGAGATTGGGTGCACATTGGGGAGGAAGGTTTGGGCTGTGATCGTACGAAAGAGAGAGAGAGAGAGTGAGTGAGTGAGAGAGAGAGAGAGAGAGTGAAAGAGAGAGAGAGAGAGATATTAAGAGGAAACCAATCAGGTTAGTACAGGGCTGACATCACACCGTCTATTTAAGAAGTCATGGCAACTGATGAAGCCGCAGTGAAGCTTTGGAGACTGATGTGCGACTACGCACAGACAGACAGACAGACAGACAGACAGAGAGACACACAGACACAGACAGTGCGTGTGAGCCACAGACACCCCAACCAGAGCGCCAGCCTTCCCGCCGCAGCCTTTAACCCCTCGACCGGACAGAGAGAGAGAGAGAGAGAGACCCTTTCGACCGGGAGGGAAAGGGGAGGACTGGATTCTTGGCGCAGAGGGGGAAAAACGAGAGAGAGAGAGTGAGAGAGAGAGAGAGAGAGAGAGAGAGAGACGGTTTGGTTTGGCGTCGCCCTGAGAGCTGTCACCGAGTTGCGCGTCGGCGTCTCACACCGGGTACCGTTCGTTTGGGAAGTGGACTCTGGGGACCTCCATCCCATCACCTCCCGAGGAGCGGATTGTAGCCTCGAAACAGCTGCCCGGAGAGGAGAGAGAGAGAGAGAGAGAGGAGAGAGGAGGAGAGAGAGAGGAGGAGAGAGAGAGAGAGAGGGGAACCCTCCGGACTCGCCGCGGGGGGTCACAGGACCCGAAACCCCCAGTCCCGCCTTCGGAGCGCCTCCTTTCTATGTCTACGAAGATGGAGCAGCCCTTCTACCACGACGACGCCTTCCTGTCGGGTTACGGCCACGCGGAGTCGGGGCTACACGACTACAGCTCGAAGCTGCTCAAACAGCACAGCCTGAGCCTGAGCCTGAGCCTGGCCGACCCTTCCCGGGGGGGAGGAGGAGGGGGAGGAGGGGGAGGAGTGGGGGTGAAGCCGCACCTGAGGGCGGGCGGGGAGGACTACCTCCTGGGCAGCCCTGACGGGGGGCTCCTCAAGTTGGCCTCCCCCGAGCTGGAGCGGCTGATCATCCAATCGAGCAACGGGGTGATCACCACCACCCCCACCCCCACCCCGGGACCCCAGTACTTCTGCGCCCGGAGCATCACCGACGAGCAGGAGGGCTTCGCCGACGGCTTCGTGAAAGCCCTGGAGGAGCTCCACAAGATCAACCAGGCGCCGCCCAACGTGTCCCTGGCCAACCCGGGCATGGCCTGCCCCCCCCCGCCCCCCGGGGCGACCCCCGCCACCGCCACCACCGCCACCACCGCCCCCACCCGCCGAGCAGCCGTCTTCGGGGTCTCGGTCCAACCCGACATCCCCCCCGTGTACACCAACCTGACCTCGTACGCCTCCGGGCACAGTTACCCCACCGCCACCATCGGGTACCTGCCCCAGGTCCACCCGCCCTACCCCCCCACCACCACCACCCTCCTCCTCCTCCTCCTCCACCCACCACCACCACCACCAGCACCACCACCACCACACGCTGCCCCTCGGCCACCCCCGGCTCCAGAACCTGAAGGAGGAGCCGCAGACCGTGCCCGAGGTGCAGAGCCGCGGAGAGACCCCACCGCTGTCCCCCATCGACATGGAGAGCCAAGAGCGCATCAAGGCCGAGAGGAAGCGCCTGAGGAACCGGGTGGCGGCGTCCAAGTGCAGGAAGAGGAAGCTGGAGCGCATCTCCCGACTGGAGGACAAGGTGAAGAGCCTCAAGTCGGAGAACAGCGGCTTAGCCACCACGGCCTCGGTGCTGAGGGAGCAGGTCACCCAACTCAAACAGAAGGTCATGTCCCACATCAGCAGTGGCTGTCAGATAGTCCTGTCCCCCAAACTCCAGAGTTTCTGAAGAGCCTCTTCCTCTCCTCTCCTTCCTCCTCCCTTCCTCTCCTCCCTCCCTCTTCCTCCTCTTTCCACCGACAAAAGACAATTGTGATCACACTGGAAACTCAGAAACGAGAAGACTTAAAACTAGAAGGACTTTGATAAGACTTTTAGACACTGAAATGCGCTGCGAGAACGAGAGACCCGAACCCTTGGAGTCTGTCCTCATCAGTCAGAGACAATTGCAAAGGAGAGTGAGTGTATGTGTGTGAGTGTCTGTGTGTGAGTGTCTGTGTGTGAGTGTATGTGTGTCAGTGTATGTGTGTGAGTGTGTGTATGTGTGTGAGTGTGTACGTGTGTGTGTTTCGCTGTTCTTAAGAGACTGAATCTTTTCTCAACCCTTCACCGACTTCAAAATGTAAATTATTGTTCCTTTTCCTTAGTTTGTAACAAACTGATTTTTTTTTGACATTGGAATATATTTAAGTAAATGTTTTAAAAAAAAACCCCGTGAACTCTCGATGCGTTTCCCTCCGCACCACTTGTCTCTCTTTTTTTTTAACGTAGGTACAGATATACAGATAAATAGATGTTATAAATCACACAATTCTGTGGAAAAGAAAGCTGACATTCTGGTTTCCTGCATCGATGGCTTATCTGAGTTCTTAGAGAACTTGTGCGGCGGTTTCGATTTTTTTTTTAAAAAAAATGCACGGTCCGAAACTTCTTTGGAAGTTTCTACTTGTTGAGTCCTGTAGCTCAGTGGTTAAAAGCACTCGCCTGGCGAGCGAGAGGTCCTGGGTTCAACTCCCAGGCAGGGCGAAACCTTTGGCAAGTTTCCTGACTCCACACCCTTCTGGTTACCCAGCAGCAGGTAGGAACCCGGTTAATAGTCGATTGGCACATCGCTTTTCCGGTGGGTGTGGGGGGGGGGGGGTGGGGGGAGGGAGGGGGTAATAATTCCTTCCCATAAAAATAAATAAATAAAATAATGATTTGGGTCACTCAACCCACAACCGACTGCTTGTGGGAATGCCGTGCGCAATTGTCTGCCGGGTTTCACCCACAGAAACGTACAGTCAATTCACTTTACTGTATTACTCGAAGTGCTTTGCGACATCTCAGTGATGTGATGAGGTGCTACATTGCAAGGATTATTATTGTTCGGATGACATGAGGGCCACAAAGTCTCAAATCATAGTGATCGTCAATAATATATGGATAATTCAACACCTATGAACAAGGCATCATAAAGTGCTTCATGCTGTCAAGTGTAGTGACTGTGTGTGTTTGTCTGGCCAGATTTGTGCACAGCAAATTCCTGCAAACAGTCACAAGGTGAACGACCAATTTAACTAGAGGATTGTTGGCAAATGCCTTTAAGCATCCACTTGAATAGACAGACAGGACTTTGGTTTAACATGTCCAACAAGGCACGACTGCACTTGGAGATACTCTGAGCTCAAAGCCTGTTAACATTCGGCCTTCATCCTGACCCCCTGACCCCAGTGTCCCACAAACAGTCACGGAGGGAGCGACCAATTTTATCTGGGGGTTTATTGGCCAGGACTGAGGGAGAGAGGGAGAGAGATACTCCTCCGCACTGCTGGAGAACTTCAACGTCCGCCTGAACAGGCAGACGAGGAGAGAGATAAATAGTAAACAGTAGCGTGGAGTGAGACTCGGGTGTTGTTATATAATCAATTGGCAGACATCTGCAAAGAGTTTCTCTTAAGAGTCGTTGCCCATGAGCTATAAGGGAATGTTCTGCTGTTCCCTTCGGCTTCCGGCAGAGATCACTGTGCTTGGTTGTCTCATGCAGAACGGGGCGCAGAGCTGAGTAAGCAGAATACATCACTGCCTTCACCACAGATCCAGCTCTGAGTACGTTTTATGATTCTGAGTAATAACTATCCCTGTATTGAACACCGCAGCTATAGCGTTAAAGGGCTTCACAGTGATTCGCTCAATAATAATAATAATAATAATAAAAATCATCATCATCCTTGCATTTGATACAGCGCCTTATCACGTCGCCGAGACGTCTCAAAGCGCTTCGCAGAATAGATCGTAGAGTGAATCGATTGTACATTCTGTGCGCGAGACGTGACTGTGTATTTGTAGGCAAACGCCAGCAAGCAATTTGCGCACAGCAACGTCCCACAAACAGCTATGAAGTGAACGCATGATTTACCTGGAGGCCTGTCGGCCAGGAGATTGTAATAAGCACCCTCGCCATAACACCTCTTTGTCTGAAGCCCAACGATGTGGTGTTATTATTCCCCAGGCTTTATGAATAATGCAGCGCTATTAAAAAAAAGGTGGCTGACGAGAGGAAATACACTTGCAATAAAACAACAGAAGAGGATTTGTTGGCATGTCTCCCTTGCAAGAGTTGCTAACTCAGCTACCTGAGTGGAGTCATGTAGCTAAGTGATTAGAGCGCTCGCCTCGCAAGAGAGAGAACCGGGTTCGATTCCCGGAAGGGAGAAATGTTGGGCATTTGATTACACTCCACACACCTCTGTTTACTCAGCAGTGAGTAGGAACCCGGTTGTTAGTCAATTGGTGGAACGCTTTTCTGGAGGTAATAATTCCTTCAAAAAAGCAATAATAATAATAATAAATTGGTCACTCAATCCACGACTGTTTGTGGGACGCTGCTGTGCGCAATTGGCTGCACAGACCATTTCTGGCTCATCTGGAATACAAGCAGGGAGGGAGGAGAGGAAGGGATAAATAATAATAAATAATCATCCTTGCTTTTGATATAGCGCTTTTCAACATCTTTTAGATGTCTTTGTGGGCGAATATTTAATGGCGTTCACCAAAGGGAAGATCAGAGGTATTTTTAAGGGGGTTTTGAAGGCAGGAAGAGAAGCAAGAGAAAACCTTTGGGAAGAGAGTTAGTATAAATGGTGAGACGGAAGGCGTGAGGGCCCAGCAGAGATGTGGATACAGGAGAGACCGAACTGGGTTTAATCACCACTTTCTAGAGAGGAGATTTGGAAAAAACGTTCGATGAATCACAGTACAAAGAGCATTAATGTGACTGCAGGTTTCACCCTCGAAGAATCGTCGCTGGCTGAAGAGCTAGCTAATGCCCCTATGGTGGATATTTCACCCCCACAGAATGAGTGAAGAAACTTTCTTTTGAAAGCTGCTCACTCTATCAACTTTCCTCTTTCAGGCCATCCTCACACCTCCTCTACCCTCCACCTCTCTTGATTCCAACCTCCAGCTCGGGTGCAAACCCTTAACTGTCCAGCACCACGGGACGCGCTTCCGATGTGAAAGGTGCTGTGTCAATGTTCGATTCCCAGGCGTGGCAAAACATTTGGCACGATTCCTTACTCCACGTCTCTGTTTACCTAGCAATGCGTAGATATACAGTCAATACAATTTACAGTATATTCTGCGAGGCACTTTGAGACGTCTCAACAACGTGATGAGGCTTTATAATAATAATAATTTTAATAATTATAATAATAATAATTGTGGGGTCTGTGGCTCAGGGGTTAGAGCACTCGCCTTGCAAGCGAGACACCAGCGCTTGCTGGGCGAAACCTTGGGCAAGTTTCGTTAATCCACACGCCTAATAATAATCCCTCCAAAGCAAAACAGTAAAAAATTGGGCATTTTCAACCCTCGTCTGTTTGTGGGACGCTGCTGTGCGCAATTGGCTGCCGTGTTTCGCCCACAAATATACAGTCAATTCACTTTACAGTCTATTCTGTGAAGCGCTTTGAGACGTCGAGAAGATGTGAAAAGCGCTACATCAAAGTGTAAGGATTATCATTATAATAATGATCCTTACATTTGATACAGCGCCGTATCACGTCTTCGAGACGTCTCAAAGCGCTTCGCAGGATGCACTGTACAGCGAATTGACTGTACCTTTCGCGGGCAAAACGGGGCAGCCAATTCTATCAAGTGATTACCAAGGATTATCGTCGAAAAGATGTTGGGACTGATCCATTTCAGCTGCTTAAACAGTTAAACCGAAAAAAGGAACTCAAGAGAGAGGGAGAGAGAGAGAATTTCTCCAGATTAATGATGTCTGGAGTCAGGCCTGGCTTCTGGACTATTATTACAACACGCTGCGGTGAAACAAGAGCTGGCAGGAGAGAATACGCCGCCTTTTCCTGCCCTGCCCTGCCCTAAAACTGGTTGCAAAAAAAAAAGAGAAGGTTGCAACACTTCTGTGTGGGCGTGAGGCGAGGGGGAGGGGGGTGCCAGTGACGATTACGTGCGTCCTTGGGGCTTTCCTGCTGCTGTTCGGAAACCAGTCCATAAAAGGGCACGGAGAAAGAGCAAACGACGTCAGCAGGACTCGCTTTCCGGGAATCCCCGCCTACCTAGTATTTACGCAGAGCAAATGGGAGTTTCCAGCCTGCTGTTTTGTAAAGGGCACGTATAATCCTCAAAAGAGAGAGCGAGAGAGAGAGAGAGATTCAAATAGACTACTCGCCAAAATAAAAAAATCCATCGACCAAAAAAAAAAAGGGACGTTTCCTCTAAAATGTTCAAGTGTCGCTTTGTTTTATTTATCCGGGTCCGGTTCGGTTTTGCTTTGTCACAGGCCGCCTCTTGTTTCAAGCCGCCTTCCGTTTGCTGTGTGGCGTGATGACCGGCTCTGAGGTATTGATAACAATGACAACAATGGCGGCAGTGGCCTCCCGTTCGATAGAGCCGCCTAATCGCGTCATTGAGACGTCTCAAAGCGCTTCGCAGGACGCACCGTGACGTGCAGCGACTGTGTGTGTTGTGGGCGGAAGGTGGCAGCCGATTGCGCACAGCAGCGTTCCACGAACAATCATGGGTTTTTATTTTAATTTTGAAGGGATTATTGCCCCCAGAAAGCGATCCATCAATCGACTAACAACCGGGTTCCTACTGATCGCTCGACAAACATAGCTGTGTATGTGTGTGTGGAGAAAGGAAACTTGCCTAAGATTTTGCCCTGACCCGCCCGGGAATCGAACCCGGGTCCTCTCGCTTGTGACCTCTCGGTTAGGCGAATGCGGCTGTGAGCCTGGGGGGGTGGTGGGGGCTTGAGCTGACAGTCCAGGCTGTATGCTTGAGGCACTGTTGAGAGCGCTGCCCTTTGAATGAGAATTTCAACCAAGTCTCCCTGTTCAGAAAAAATTCCCTGGCACTTTTGGAAAATGATCTGGGGGTTTTAATCAGAACAACTGTACCATTTGGCAATGATCAGCCGCACAGCATTTCGAGACAGGTTAGGCTGGCTGCTTGTATTTGATATAATAATATTCCTTGCATTTGATTTAACCCCTTATCACGTCTTCAAGACGCCTCCAAGCGCTTCACAGAATATACCGTAAAGCGAATTGACTGTATACGCGGCAGCCAATTGCACACAGCAGTGTTCCACATACAGTCGTGGATTGAAGTGAGCAATTTATTAATATCTTATTCTGAAGGAATTATTACCCCCTGGAAAAGGGATCTGCCAATCGACCAACAACCGGATTCCTACTTTATATCGCGCTTTATCACATCGTTGCGATGTCTCAAAGCACTTCACAGGGTGTAGTGTAAAGTGGATTAATGTTGATGTTTTCTGCTCTGTGTAAGTGCCAGGATTATTACGATACCAACGCACAGGATGTATGAAGAAACTCAGACCTTATATGTACAAATGAGGAAATTAAATGATTTGGCTGTAGTTGCCATTGGCTGAGATTCCGATCTGTTCAGACCAGACCAGCGACTGAATGTTGGCCACAATGGGAGGTGCAGTCACTAACTGAGGCAGTGACAGTTTTATTTGTTTACTTTTAAAAAAACGTTTCAAAAATA